ATAGAACTGTTAAAGTAGTAGTAAGGCAACACAATCACAGTGTTAACTTGCCGCTGTCCCATTTGGGGACAGTAATTTCTTATAGAACTGTTAAGGTAGTAGTAAGACAACACAATCACAGTGTTAACTTGCCGCTGTCCCATTGGGAGACAGTGATTCCTTATAGAACTGTTAAGGTGGTAGTAAGACAACACAATCACAGTGTTAACTTGCCGCTGTCCCATTGGGAGACAGTGATTCCTTATAGAACTGTTAAGGTGGTAGTAAGACAACACAATCACAGTGTTAACTTGCCGCTGTCCCATTGGAGGACAGTGACTCCTTATAGAACTGTTAAGGCAACCAAATCGAAGTGTTTTCTCGACAATGTCATTCCTTTCCGCCCTTGAACAATTTGCTCTTTGTTCATAAATTAAAAGTTGAAATGTTAGGCATAAAAAACAATAACTTAGTTTTCTGAAATTAGTTTTAGCTTATTTTTAACCCAACTGAGCTAAAACCAGTAAGCTTGGCTTTGTTTTTTGTTTTAGAGTAAACCTGAACAATGGACTATATTCATTCTGCCCATTGCAGTGAATCGAGTCTCAAAGTTTAGCGTTGTAAGTCCGTATACTTTACCGCTGCGCCATCTAGGATAGGGAGGCAAATCTGTATGTTTTAGGAACGTTACAGAAAACAGTCTAACAGATATTAGGTAAACCTGAATAACACTGTCAAGTGGTTACTTTTAACAGATGTTTATATTTGCTTACATACTTGGTTTAATACTGGTAAAGGAAGAATGTAACAGTGGTCAGATGAATGAGCTGTTGCTTCGGTGGAATTTTAGGAAGAGTGGACAAAGTATGTTTGGGAACTTTACAGGATTGCAAATGCCCGTTGAAAGCAGAATAGAGGACGTTTCGTCTTCTACACTTCAGAAGAAGCCCTCAAGATAGAAACCGAAATGTCGTCTCCTTGCTAAATTTGGGACGGCTAGCGCAGATAGCCCTCGTGTAGCTTTGCGCGAAATTCATAACAAACCAAACCAATAACAAGTAGTTGGGACATTTGTTAATCATGCTAAATAGATGTAAAACAATATCAGGAACATTTCCTCGTTCGTGTTGGACGTACCAGTCATTTAGTAATAGACTTATTGCGTGTTTTATTACATTCAGGTTTGTCATGAATATCTGCAATGTGTTCACAAAGTGCTCTCTGACATTCGAGACCTAACGAAATTTTTTTACAGTAGTGATTATAAAGTCACTCAACCAAATACAGGTTTTATTGCAGAGCAGTATATATCAATCGTTAAATGATTATTATTAGAGCCGATAATTAAAGGCAACAAAAATAAAGCAGATATAGTTGTTATTTAGTGGATATCATATTCTTGTTGGTCGATGACTCCCAAACTGAAGAGTTATGGTCTTTCTCTAACATAATAGATAAAACTAATAATGTATTGACGATAAGCCAATAACCATTTGATTCATCATATAATGTACTGACAATAAACCAATAGCTGTTTCATCGATCATATAATGTATCGATAAGCCAATAGCTGTTTTATCAATCAAATAATTTACTGACGATAAGTCAATAACCGTTTGATCGATCAAATAATGTACTGACGAAAAGCCAATAGCTTTTTGATCAATCCCTTTGATTAATCTGATAAACACGTTGAACCTAGATAATGAGACTGTTGTCATCCTTTAATTTTAAGGATACTTTTTCCCTTTACTTAAAAAGTTTATGGATTTTGTTGCTGTTGTTTCTTAGTTTTCTCGAGAATTCCACTGCAAGTCACATTAATTCTGGCATCCGTTTTATCATGTGCTTTCTTTTATTGTTGATAACTTTATATATATATGAATTTTTCATGTTAAATCTCTATGAATTCTCAGTCTGTAATGTAAAACAAGATTTTCCTTTTCCGCTTGTTTGCTCTTTGATTTTTAGCTTATTCCTTTCTCTCCTACTTTGTCAACAAACCTTCTTTCTCTATTATTTTTATCATATTTTGAGTTTTCTAATTCAATGTCTATCCCTGTTTTCCTTTTCCGCTTGTTTGATCTTTGATTTATGGTTTATTGCCTCCTTTTCTCCTTTGTCAACAAACCTTCTTTCTCTATTGTTTTTATCATATTTTGAGTTTTCTAATTCAATGTCTATCCCTGTTTTCCTTTTCCGCTTGTTTGATCTTTGATTGATGGTTTATTGCTTTCTTTTCTACTTTGTCAACAAACCTTCTTTCTCTATTATTTTGATCATATTTTGAGTTTTCTAATTCAATGTCTATCCCTGTTTTCCTTTTCCGCTTGTTTGATCTTTGATTTATGGTTTATTGCCTTCTTTTCTCCTTTGTCAACAAACCTTCTTTCTCTATTATTTTTATCATATTTTGAGTTTTCTAATTCAATGTCTATCCTTATTTTCTTTTCGTATTTGTTTGCTCCTTGTATTTTTTAAATTTATTGATTTCTTTTCCATTTTGTCAACAAAGTCGTTTCCTTCTTTTTCTATTTTTCTCATATTTTAAGTTTTCTAAATCAGTCCAGCCCTTATTCCACACTTGCGCGTTTGTCTCACATATCTCGAGTTGTTACACCCAATTATTTTCTATTTTTCTTTAATGCTAAGCATCATATAAGAGCACTACTATAGCTGTTTTTCGAGTATATATATATATATATATATATATCTTTACTTAAACGTCAACGAATCAATTCATGAGTAAATGAACAACAGTATAAAGTATGGCAAATTTCAAGACGTTGTCAAGTCCAGGTTGTAATATCTAATTTTTTATACATTGTACTTAAGTTTACTTATGCATATTGATATAATTACTATCAAAATAAACCAGCAAATGAAACGTGAAAACCTAATACAGGCATAAAACACTCATAAACATACTGCAAGATATAAAATGTCCGTTTAGCGAGTTCTATGTTTTATTAAACCATAGCTCTCTGCCCTTACTTTATCCTTGTTTTTTTTGCACTAAATACAACTTTTCTTTAAACCAACAGCAATAATTCCACCAAAAATCGATAACTTTCCAATCTTAAAAAATATATAATATTCTGATTAATAAATGAATATCTCCATTAGCTTTATTTTCAATAGATCGTCAAAGTTAATTAACTTTTCACCAACATTATTATGTTTAAACAAAAAATATGATTTTACTACAGATATTCCTGATTACATTTTACTTTCTCTTTGGTAGTACTCCCACGTAAACCAAGAATTACTGATGGAAAGGGTGATCTAATTCATAAAGTTGCAGGTCCATACAATGAGGGAGATCGTTTGGTATTACTATGTGAAAGTGAAGGAGGTAAGATAAAAAAATTATTGTTTCTTTTATGGATTTATTTTATGTGCAAGTCAATGAAAGGATTATTTCTTATATTTTCCTGAATTTCAAAAAGTGCATTATTAAAAAAATACATATATGGTAAATTATATTTCGGGAAGATATTATTATATAAACATAAATGGTATATTATAAATCGGGAAGTTATTATTAAAAATAAACATAAATGTCAAATTATAAATGGGGGAAGATATAATTAAAAAGACATAAATGGTAACTTATAAATCGGGAAGATATGACAACTTTCTTCTTCATATTTACTTGTATATTACTAATATATGTAAATAATATAGTATATCTTTATACCTTTCAGTACAAATATAAGTTCCAACATACATATTTCAAATCAGTAGAATTAAAGGTAACTTTAAAGAATTGCTGAAAAAACCACACAAAAAACAACAACTAAATGCCATATAGTAAATATTGAGGTACGTTTGTATAATTTTACAAAACATATAATAAAAACATTTTTATCTAAAATGATGTAGGGATGGTAGTGCCAAAAAAGAATGCAAACAATAATATAGGGACGATACAGCTATACATAGATCATCCCTACATGACTTTCAGTGTCAAAATTTAATTTTACACTGTAAAATGCATACTTGACTTGAATATTACTGCAGTTGGTATGCAGTTTGTTTATCACAATATCATGGTCATGTCAGTATAAACATCGATGTAGTGTAACTAAGAGCCTAGGACTTACGTTAAAAGAAAACCAAGTTGAGTCAAAACATGTCTTGATTATTATAGACTCTCACTACGGGGTCGGTCAGTTTGACCGACCTCGTAACCTTTTTGTACTCGTTCACTTTAGAGTGTAACATTAAACTTTAATATTGAAAGTCATGTAGGGATGATCTCTGTATAGCTGTATCATCCCTATATTCTTGTTTGCATTCTTTTTTGGCAAACTGCTATTCCTACATCATTTTTACATTTACAAAATGTTTTTATTATTTGTTTTGTGACTTTTTTCCATTTAAAGAAAGTTAGTGTATTCTATGAATGTGTGTTATAATATTTACTATTATGTGTATTGATTTTGTTTTAATTTCTTCCTAAAGACACAGATTGTATAGTGTACAAAGCACTGAGTATTCTAGATGTTACAGTCATCTAATGTTCATCTAGTAAAGACTGGAAATTCCTCTTTCTCCCTGTACTTAAGTTTTTTTCAAGGAACTACATACTTCTGAAAAAACTAACTTCAAAGGATAATGACAACATCGTTTACACTATAATCATGATTTTTTTATATAGCTACTACTGGCTATTATGACTAAGTAATTATATCGTGAACTGACCGAAAATACATAGAGTGGATATAGGTTTAAACTGATTTTAGTAATAAAGTTATTGTAGAGTTATCTCGACTGAAACAAGGAGAAAGGTGAACAATTTGGTGGGTTGGTCACTTTCTGTTTTGTTATCCTAGCAATGATTTTACCCTTGTTTTTAGGCTTGTTGGGTAGAGAGACAAATGAAAGTGAGTGGCATTCATCTTTGGAAGAAACACTATCTGTCATTGTTGATTTTTTAACATACATATTTGTATTATACCTATTATATACCTTGGGCATCCCCACATATAGAATCTACGGACTCTATGATAAACAAAACCAGAATTACGGTTTTCAAGTTCATAGTAAAACTTTACTTGTATATAACATCTTTACTTACAACGTTGAGCTTGCTGCATACCAAAAACATTACCTTATCTTGTCACGTTTTTATGGTGTTTTCTGTTTTTTCTCCTTGGCTTGAATAACTTTATGCAAGTTTGTTGCGCAATATTTTGTATATAAATGAGGCCATCTTCTTTGTCTTTGTCGGGGTTTAGGTCTTTAAAGACCTGGGAAGGTCAGATTCGTTGACCTCTTCCTCCCTCCTTTACTATGTTGTATAATTGCTGAAGAATGGACGTGTAAATACAACATGAGGGTCATAGTAAACCGCACTTAATTTGACCCTTGGAATATAAATTATTTTAGTTTGAATTTCGCGCAAAGCTCCACGAGGACTGCGCTAGCAGTCCCTAACTTAGCAGTGATAGACTAGTGTGAAGGCAACAAGTTATCAGCACCAACCGCCATCTTTTGGGGCTAATCTTTTACCATCAAATAGTGGGGTTTACTGTCACATTATAACACCCCATGGCTGAAAGGGAGCATATCCAGTGACGGGGATTCGAAGCCTCGACTCTCAAGTTACGAATCGAGCGTTCTAACCACCAGGTCCCAGAGTATAAATAGCGGGTAAGAAAATTAAATAACAACAATGCAACACAGAAAAAAAAGAGCAAAGAGTGACAACTATAGTCTAATTTACATAAATGAGATTTTCAAATCAAAACTGAACACACTAATTCTCACTGTGGTTCTCTAGTATTTACAATGTTAGCTAACTGAAAGCAGACCATGAAGCTTATAACATAAGTGCTAAATACACTGACACAACGTTAAACGCATACGTCAAAATACTGATAATGGTATTGTGGGATATCTAAAAGATGCCATCTTAAATCAGTTGGAATCAGCAATTTATCGCATCTTCACTGTAGAAATAATAATGTTGCTTACATTTGAGATGAAAAAACAACAATCTCAAAAATTAGAGTGATAACTATAGAAGAGATTAACAATGATATACTTTCATAAAATCTACGACACATATAACAACAGAAGAAGTCGGAAACCGAATGTGTCTTAAATAAAAACGGGATAATTGTATATTGCAAAATTGTGTTATCAGAAACCTTTCTAATAATGGCAACACACATGAGGGGCCGTTTTATACGCTGACTCAAAATTATCGATGATCTTCATCGATTAACCTAGATAATTTGACGAAAATAAATTGATATGGGTTTTTCTGAAAAAACATAAAGTGTGTGTCATTTATAGAAAACGTAACTCAGTAATTATGATGTTAAGATATACTCTCAAGTAGCATTAATTTTCAAATGTCTAGTTCTTCAGATTTTCAATTATATATATATACATATTGTATCTATGTGTTGAGCCGTCCAGTAGCTCAGCGATAAGTCTGTAGGCTTACAAAACCAAAATTTGTGTTACGATACCTGTAGTACTTTGTGCTTATCAATAAATCAAATACTGTCAACTACAAATCAATCAACAGTTCATTTATCTTAAGTTTGAGTACTTTAATGGACTGTGATTGCCTATTGAAAGAAAATAATTAAACACAAAGCTGCACAATGGGCTATCTGGGCTCTACTCACCACGGGTATCGAAACCCAGTTTCTAGCCTTGTAAGTACGCAGACATATCGCTGTGCTACTGGGGGTTAAGATGACAAAAGATTCGTCATTCATGTAAGAAAGAGAAGTGAATAATATAAGTAAGAAGAAAAAGAAAACCAAATCAGTCGCGTAACAATGTTTAAATATAATATTATTAATAAAATGTTAGCTATTGTTCATTCTAATGATGCCTTGCAAATGGCTGAAGTATGTTAAGGTTATTGTTTGGCTAAATATATCCGAGCACGGTAGCTGAAATTTGAATATGTATTGTTTTTGTACTAAATGGATGAACTGTAAACGTTTTTTGTGACTAAAACATGAAGAAAAACCTTTGAAAACCCGAAACTCTATATAAAAATATCATACAATACATAGAGCAAAAGTAGGTCAGGACGTTAGATTGAAGTGCTTAAAATGGACAAACACCATTGTGTACACTAAACACGCTTTGCTGCATTAGTAGTTAAGAGATTTCGTATTCCACGTAATATATCACTCTGAATAATTACAATAATCAGCACAACTGGTGCATCTACGATAGGAGAGCGTGTAGATATGACTATACTTTCTGATTTATATTTTACGTTTAATATTTACATCATTAAGCCTTTGAATAAATAAGTTTAAAAATCACCATGACAACAGAGGTTGAGTTTTGTATATTAAAATGCATTTGAAGTCTCACAAAGTCGTTACTGTCGATGTTGCTACGTCCAGTCATGCTCTAGCTAACGATGGTTTATCTTAACAATAGCCCTATAACATATTTTCCATTAAAAAAAAGACTCCGTCGTCAAATTGTAGTGCTGGAAGCTCACAACTCCTCTGTGCATGTTTTCTATATTTCAGGTAATGTACAAGGACGACGTTTCCCGACTCCTGTTTCAACAGTCCGATCACACAGAAATCCATAGGTACAGCGTCTGGCAACTTATCCAGTTTGTCTCCGTGTGCAATAAAATGAATGCTAATTTTATTTTCCTTGTGTCTGAGATATTCGACGGTTAAATAGACATGTAGCGGAAACAACTTCCATTAGTTTTACAGACGGGGATCTTTTTTGATTATATTTATATATACTGTTTCCTTGGGCATGTGGACTCCTTTTGACTCTGAATTTTGTGTTTGTGGATTATCACCTGTTATAAGACGCTGCACTTTGCTTACTACAGTAGAGATAGACCATGTTGCGGGTCTATTTTTGGATGGTTCTGGTGTCCCAAATTGATCCAGACTCTTTGGTTTTCAATATCATTAAGTAAAAGGGATATCCCAGCTAGAAAATTCTAGATCCCCGAACTTGATATATGAATATATTGTGTCTGAAATGACTGTTCCATACCTTTCCCAAAATTAAGTGTATTACACTACCTACCAAACGTTAAATAATGTCAAAATATAGTTCTTACACACTTCATTCCATTGTTGCTTATATTGGCTTTGATTGTGACCTGACTTGTTGGTTTGTTGTATTTATAATGCACGAAACTTAAGTTATTTCTTATAATTATTATGTTCTCATATAAATTAGCCGATTTACAAAGCTACAGATGTCTTCAAACAACTAAATGTTTGAAAATAAAATACCACCAGTCTACATTACTTTATCTAATAGCTTAAACTCGAAGTTTATTTTCAAAACCAAATTTGCCATCTCGTGCGAATAATCGATTCGTTAAATGTA